CCTAAACCCTAAATCCTCAACCCCCTAAACCCTGAACCCTTATCATCCCAGGAGCCTGGTTTCGCGCCTGTTACGGTTGTCCCTGAAGACATAGAGGTCCAAGATCTGACCAGGAACACGCAGGGTTTGGAGGTTCTGGGTTTGGGTTTGGGTTTAAGGCTTTAGGGCTTTTAGGGTTTTAGGATTGTATGGTTTAAGGGCGCTAGGGTTTGAGGCTGTGGGGGTTAGGTCAGAAGGCAATGTGGGTTTAAGGAGTCAGGGTTCCAAGGTAGCGCATTTGATGCGTAGTTAATGCAGTCCCTAATCTAGAGCTTGACCTCACTCAGACAAGGGATCAGAATTCTGCACCATCCCGCGCAACCCTAAGCCCGAGACCCGATCAAACCACCACGAAACCAATTCTTCCACTAAAGAAATCCTATTAATCCCCCCAATCGTGCCAACATTAATGTAATACCCCTAGCCTGGCATTACAGGCGCTGTATTCCCCAACGGAGCCCTGAAAGGGCCCTAGGCCCTAAGCCCTAAACCCAAAACCCGAAACCCCAAACACTAAGCCCTCAACCACACGTTGAACACCTGCGATTTTCTTGAGGACCCGGCTCTGGCCCCAGCAGGAACCCCCAATTCATGTAGGCGCTCCTAGCCAGGGTTTGAGGCTTAGGCTTTACGGTCCAGGGTTAGGAGTTTAGGGTTCGGGGCTTAGGGTTCAGGGTTTGGAGTTTAAGGTTTCAGGCTCAGGGCTTAGGGCTTAGGTCCAGGATTTGGGTCGAGGGTTTAGTGCGTTTAGGGTTCAAAGTTTTCAAAAACTTGCTGGTTGTTAGTAGGGAAAAACATGGAAACACATATCTCATTAGCATGTCCATTCTTCCGTTTCCTACTAACAGCCAGTAGGCCACGGCAAACGTTAAGGAGGAGGAGGAAGAAGAAGAAAAGCAGCAAAAATCTGCCAGCCCTTTCCAAAGAAGAAACCCAGGGGCCAGAGCCCGAACCTGATAAAAGTTCAGCAAACTCACACACCAAATACCCTAAACCCTGGGCGGAGACGGAACGGCGGCAGAAGCAGAAGCTGCAGCTACAAGCTGGGACAGTTCTAATTTCTAAAGGAACTCCTGAAGCTAAGGATTTCCTGGTGTTTCGTTGTTCTACAGAACAGACAAAGTTGAACATCAAGGGAAGGAATTCTATGTCAACCTGCATCTCGCGATGAACCAACACAGGCACATCTTTGCGATGATGCTGGTCAGCAAAGCCGTGATCACTGTAATACAGGGGACTGAATAATTACCAATATCCCTATGAGGTCTATAGTATGAGGTACCAGACACCATCATTATGCAAGAAATCCGGGACGCTAAGACTGTCGCTAATTTTGACCGTTACAGTGCCTAGATTGATGACAAATCCCTATTGCTGGGATCTCGGCTGAAACGGGTATTAACAGCGGTATTGACGTTCTATTCTTCGCGAAAAGAATAGAATGAGCGAGAGCCGTATGTGCACAGTCTCATCATAGCCAGGACCCCACAAAGACTTCCTGGAGCGCTTCAGATGGTCCTATATATCTCCCCGCCGCAGCTGCAACCCCTCCCTTCTCCCATCCACTCCTGCTACGGCTACTAACAACTGCTGCTACTACTGCTGCTGCTGCTCCTACTACGACCACCACCACCACCAC